GCATCCTCTTCCTTATCATTGTTTTCTTATTGTGTAGGAAATGATAAAGACAAATGAAGGACCGCCACCGAGACAAGTGGTGGACTTGCCATTTTGTGTGCTTTGGCTTTAAAAAGTGAGTATGAAAATGTTGTATGGATTAGCTTGATTTTTGGTATATATATATAGCAAGTTAGGCATTTTTGGTATACAAGTAGATCAATTAAACAATTATTGTTTTGGTGTAAATGAAAGTATTAATTGAAGGTTAAGTTGTTATTATGTTAATTGTGTTGGTTGTATCTTATGGGTGCATAAATGATCGATGTGATTAGGATGGTATAATTAATAGGATTATGAAAGTGATTGCAAATCAAAATGACGAGTAATGAGATTAGGTATGAATGTTAAGGGTAAGATCAAAAGAAAATAGAATGATTAAATGATTAGAAAAGGTTTAAATGAAATTAGTAAGGTTTAATAAAACCTAAAGAAATGAAAAAATTTTATACCCAAAATTAGGTTTAAGAGGACATAGTATCTCATACTCATTAGGGACCGTACAAATGGTTAAATGCTCACTTTCGTTAATGCATTAGATATGATAAGGGAGGAGGCTTCTTGATTTATATTCATTGCATGTCGAGTATAGGTCAATGTCGATAATACCCTCCACCTATCTAAGTCCTAGGATGAGGAATGTTAAAGTAGTTATCCCTTGTTTCTCAAATTTTGGTTTGTAACTTTCTTCCCTTGTCTTTCTTTTCTTTCTTGTTTTTTGGGATTTTAGACCTCAATGATTAAGTCTTCAATTACTAAAGTTATCCTCTCTTTAACTAAAACTCGGAAAACTCTTCCTTTACAAACCTAGATTTCCTCCGAATGTTGTTGTTATTGGTATTGTACAATTGATTGGAAGATAATGGACATAAACATTGGATTTGTTGTTTACTTTTAGGACTTAGGAATTATTTAGAGTGTACCTAGAACTAAGGATTGAATTATTGTGGATTGAATAAGTTCTATAAACCCGGAAAAGCTAAACACCCTTTACCTTGAAATTCAAACACTCTTCGTCGCTAAACCTAGAAAATTGAAAAAACACAAAATACCTTCAAAACCCAAAAATTCCTCCTTCAAATCTCAATCTTTCTCTCTCTCTCTCTCTCTCAATTCCTATAATGGGGCTCAATTTATAGCCAAGACCCAATCGATTATACACCCTAAGATCACCCACGATCAATTAGAATCATTCCCCGTTAAAATCTAAACCCACATGCTCTTGGTGTTCTTGGTCGTTTTTAACCGAGTAAACAAAACCTAAATGCAATATGTGTGTATGTAGATATTATGCAATTGTGGTGCATATGTGGGTATAGGTAGTTGAAGCACCAGATCCTAGCTAGTACAATTGTCAATCAAGAATCATAGAATGAATTAGGATCTTTTGTCTTCGAGGAAGAAGATGAACAAGGTTGAGAATTGATTTTGGGTTGTATCAAACGATAGGTCATTCGATCAGCTTTGGTCTTGTTGTTTGCTTCCTAATTTTAGTTTAGTCTTTGTGTATTTTAATCTTTCACAATCACATCCTTGTTTTTAATTCAATTTTACCCATATTGGCTTACAAATTCAAATATGATTTCATTCAATTGCACCCATATGCCATTCGGTTTCGTCCCTAATTAACTTTCAATTTCAAATCTAGTTGTTTTCAATTTTCGTTTTTATTTTCTTCAATTAGACCCCTAATTAATTATTTCATGCAAAAGTTTTTTTTATATATATATATTTTATATATTTTCCTTTTTTTCTTTCAAAAATAAAACATAAAACTTGTAAATTTGACTAAATAAATATGAAAAATAAGATAAATTAAAATATAAATAAAAGGAATAAAGTCAACAAAAAAATATTAAAAAAATAAATGTAACTCAAATTTTGGGTTATGACAATGAGAATTGATGTTGCCCAAGCTCATACATTGTTGCATGATTGACACACTGCAGATTAGGGTTCGTTGGTCTAACCGAAATTATTGTACCGAATAACGACTAGCCTACAAGAAAACAATATAATAGCGACAAAATTTTCCATTGCCAAATCTTCATTTTTTATCGCTATTTACATTTAGTGACGGATTTGTAATAATATTTTTCAATAGTTAAAACCGACGTTGCTATTTTTTTTAGCAACGAAAATTTATATCCATCGCCGATTAGCGATAGATTATCCGTCGCTAAAATTGAAGTAAACAATCATTTTTTAGGTCTAAAATCTGTCATAAAATTGTCGCTATTCCCTATATTACCGTCGCTAAATCATATTTGCTAAAAATCCTTGCAAATCCATCATCATATCCACGTTATTTAATGGTTGTATATGTGTTCGTCGTAAAGAGATTTAATTTTGATTGCTACTTCAACCACTAGCTTTAAGATAAGTCCAGTCCAAGCAGATAGTATCTATTTATACCGGTTTGTGCTATAGCTAATATCCTTTACTTAGGCATCATCCTTTGAGCTTTTTTCTTGTTCTTGGACAAGGAGACAAGGTAATACTGCGGCACATGAATTAGCAAAATTGTCTACCGAATATCAAGACGAGAGATTTTGGTTAGAGGAGGCTATTCTCATATTGACAAACTTGTTTCTTTTAGATGCTTTTTTTTTAAAAAAAAAATCCTCTTTACCAATTTTTTTCCGAACAGTAAAGATATTTTATATATAAAAAGAAGTTTTTGTAATGTTTTCAGATTTTTAGCTGATGTCTGTAATTTTATGATATTTTAAGAAAGTCATCATAATTTATCATTTAAAAATTGAAGTTTTAAGATACCTCTTAAATCCTAATGGTTTTTTTTTTTTAATCTTAACAGGAAAAAAGTCCAAAAATTTCGGAAATTAATTCTATGTAACTTCCGCTTCGGTTGATGGTACTTTCTGATGTCACAATGACCAGTATCCGATGACCCACTTCATCCTCTCTCGTTTTCTCTTCCCTCTTCTCATGGAGTTAAAAATATTTGGTCCGTTTCTAGGGTTGTTTCCCAAAGAAATAAAAAGAGTTGGTTCAGTTCAGATGTGAAAATAGGACTCTAAAATCAATGATTGAGAAATGTTGGTTTAGTATTTTCGATAAACGGCCAAAATTGTATCTAAACAATATTTATTTTTTGCATTAATTATTATGCCTGCCATCGCAGTAGATCATGTACTGTAATCCTCAAATGCCACGTGTTACGATCCTAAAGTAGAGTCCACCCATCAGGGTCCTTTGCTTGAATGATATGGGACCCACCTAATAATAAGTCTCTCAAATTTTTGACTTGGGATTGGACCCACCTCTGGCCACCATTGTCTTTATGGATTGAATGATAAAAAGAGCACCTCACGTGGAGTCTGAACCAAAGGGGCTGTCCAACCACAATAAAAAGGAACCGTGCAGCCCAGATTCACAAAATTAAAAAGAGATAACTACAAATCAGTCCCCAACATATAATGCATTCCACAGATCAGTTCTCAATTTTCAAAACTTTGCTAGATATGGGCTCGACGTTTCACCACTGATTGGTTCACCGCCGTTTATGTCCATTAGAAGCTGTTAAAAACCATGTTAAACGAGCATGGCAAGTACGTGATTCAAAAGTTGAGTGTATTTTTTAGTAGTCTTTTTGGATTAATAATATTAAGGATTTCTATCATTTTTTTTAAAAAAAACCACCAACTCAAATTTTATCAATAAATCAAAATTTAAAATAAAGAAAAATTGTTTAAAAACCACCTTCTTCACCATTGTGAAAATTCAAATTCAAATCCCTAAAAAACAAAGTTATACATACAAATAACGAGATATATAAAAGATATTTTTTTAATGAACATTAAAAAATATTTAATAATATCGTAGACCGTCTTAAAAAATTTAGAGTTTCATGAAACAATGATATGGTTGCTCCATCACTTACTTTGTCTTATTTTTAAATATGCCTACTATAAACCACAAGTAAACATATACGATTTTTTTTTCTGTATTTCTAAATTATCAAATCTAAGAAATAAATTTTTAAACAATTTATAAAACACATTAATTGTCTGCATAACTTACACCATTTTTACTACACAAGCATATCAATCAAAATGATAATAAATTTTCTTTTTGTATTCAAGTGAAAAAAGAAATAAAATCTTACAATTCATTCAAAATTAATAATCAATATATCATCAAAATAGGATAGTGGTAGAGAGCTTGTGGTTACACAATAACTCTATATTTATAACTATAGTCTCAACATTGGTAGAGAAATAGTAGAAAAAACAGAGTGAGCTATTGATACGTTTTCAATATAAAGATCGTGATAGCAAGAATATGCATGAATTTTAAAAGTAATAGTGGATTTGGAGGAAAGGAGAAAGGAGGAAAAAATTGTTTGGAGAAAAAAGTCAACTTGTTGATTATTATTTTATATTAACAAACTGTATTAATTGTTAATTTAACTTTAATCTTAAAAATGTGTTTCTCTGTTCTTCATACAAACGCTCCGATTGCAATACATAACAGAAATTCATCACTTATAATGTTGAAAGATTAAGTCATATTTGAAAATTGGGGACTGACATGTGAAGCACATCGTAGGTTGAGGCCTGATTTTTCCCCAAAATTTATTTTATTTTATTTATTAACAAAAGGAAAATTAAAAGCTTCTCGACACATCAACAAAGCAATTTTTTCTTTTTGTTAAAAAAACTGCTTTTTAAAGCTTACCCCATATAATTCCCACTCATTATGTTTGTTGCTTAAAGCTCGTCCAGCTCCTTCCTTATCCTCTCTCTAACATCAGTTCTCAAGGAAGGGAATTCCAGGCACCCAAAAGAGAAGCGAGAAATCAAAAAGGGTCTCTCTCTCCCTCTCTCAATAAAGACTCTCCTCTAGTAAGTATTCAATTTTTTTCTCATAGAAAATAAAAACAGAAATAAAGGAGGAAAATAGTCTTTGGAGAAATTCCCACATATTTTCATGCCATCATGGAAGGAGGTGATGATCAATTCCACCACCACCACCAGAACCACCATCAGCACCACCAACGTCCAAACTTCCCATTCCAACTACTGGAAAAGAAAGAAGACGAACCTTGCTCATCCTCTTCTCCTTACCCTTCTCTTCCAACCCCCACTACCGAACCAATCAACAACAGCAACAGTGCTAACTCAAACCGTTCTACCTCTAATCTCCAAATTGCTACTGCAGAACAATCAAAGAAACCCCCTCCAAAACGAACATCAACAAAAGACAGACACACCAAGGTGGATGGACGTGGCCGCAGAATTCGCATGCCAGCTCTCTGCGCTGCTAGGGTTTTTCAGCTCACTCGAGAACTTGGCCACAAATCAGACGGTGAAACCATTGAGTGGTTACTTCAACAAGCAGAACCAGCAGTGATCGCTGCCACAGGCACCGGCACAATCCCTGCTAATTTCACTTCCCTTAACATATCCTTGCGTAGCTCAGGCTCAAGTATGTCAGTTCCGTCTCAGCTAAGATCGGGGAGTTTTAATCCAAACTTTTCATTGCAACAACGTAGTCGGAGTTTGTTCCCAGGAATTGGGCTAGAAACCTCACCACCACCGACATTTTTAAGTTTCCAATCTAGTAACAATATGAATGCAGTGCTGCAAGCAAAGCAAGAATTGCGAGACAATTCTTCGCTGGATTTATCAACGGAGACAGAAGAGAGTTTAAGCAGGAAACGAAGGCCCGAGCAAGATTTATCATCATCGCAACAGCATCAGATGGGGAGCTACTTGTTGCAATCCAATAGTGGGGCAATTCCAGCCAGTCATAGCCAACTTCCAGCAAATTTTTGGATGCTGGCTAATTCCAATAGCAACCAAGTCGTGAGCGGAGACCCTATATGGACATTTCCTTCTGTTAATAACAGTGGTTTGTACAGGGGAACCATGTCTAGTGGATTACATTTTATGAATTTTCCTGCTCCTGTTACCCTATTGCCTAGCCAGCAATTGGGGTCTACTAGTATTGGTGGGGCTAGTGGTGGCAATAGTGGGATGAGTGAATTAGGGCATTTGAACATGCTAGCTGGATTAAATCCCTACCGGCCATCCGGTATATCGGAATCGCAGGCTAGTGGGTCTCATTCACATCACGGTGGCGGCGGTGGAGGAAGCGATGATCGGCATGATACAACAAGTCATCACTCATAGAGATGGTACAAGAGCATCATTGTGATCATCATCCCTCTACTTGTGTAGTTTTTATGTTTAACACACGTGAGGTTTGATCGTTCTTGAAACATTGGAGTTTTGTTTTCCTTTTCTTTTTAATTATTATTATTCCATTTTTTTCTTTTTTTCGTGTGTGTGATTAAAATGGGGTTTTAGCTAGGGTTTGTGGGAATTAAAGACAGTGCTCCTATTTTAACAGGGTGTTGGGTTGGGTGGTTTGGATAAAAGACCTCATTTGGGTTTTTCATTTCATTATTACTCCTACAGTACATCTCATCATCATTGTTTGTGCAATTTCTTTTTTCTGGCCAAAGCTGCTGCTGCTACCTGTAATACAATTTATATATAGTGCTTTAATGGTGTTGGAGAAAATGACATATATATATGCTCATATGCTGTATTGAATATTGGTAAGTCTCCTACCTAACTGGCAAACATTGAATTCTCTCTCTCTCTCTCTCTCTCTCTCTCTCTCTGGATTGGTGGTGAAAAGGCACGGGTATAAATTATAAAAGTTTGTCAAAGTGAAAGCTAGGAGATAAAACAGCATTGTTACTGCAATGCAACGCTGTAGTCTTTCTTTTTCTCACATTCTGATTCTAAATCTCTGCCATGAATCTCAAGGTTTACTGCATCAATGATTAAGATTTCTTCTCAGAGAGATGGGGTGGGACCCAGATCTTATCGATTCCAGCTGGTGGCTCAGGTGGTGGGCCAAGATGTTGGTCTTTGCCCAAACCAATGTACAATGTCACTGACAAAGAGGTGGATCATTCCTCTCTCTCTCTTTTCCATGGCAAATTCTACAATGCCGCTGCCACCAAAAGCTTGACGCGTGGTCAATCGTTTTTTAATCCACGATGATCAGATCGCCATTGCCAAATAGGTAGAGTCCACCGAACAACGGTGTTGCTCCCCATCTGAAAGGCATGCATGCATGCCTACCTGCCTTCATTATTAGTGACTCGGCTTCCACGTGGTTGGAGATCATTCTACAACCTTAATTATTTGTCTTTCAAAGAAAGAAAAAGCATCATTACCATTTCGAAGTCTAAAACAGAACCAATTTAAAGAATTTTAATTTTCAAAATTCCAGTCGATAACTTATCATGGTAGTAACCTCGATCGAACTCTAACTGGCCCTGAACATATCTTGACACACACACGTATATCAAGTCATGAAACACAGCAGTCTTACTCTAATTCGCAAGAATATTGTGAAGAACCATCCAAGAAAGCTGGTTCAAGGAGTTCGAGGGGAGAAGCAAATGCCATGCCAGGTAATTGCTAGTATTTCTTTGGTGTGCCAACAATGTGTTTGTGTTATCTTGTTCGATATTAACTGTTGCCCTGCAGTATATAGGTCCAAGTAAGTGGAAATGAGGCTATATTTTGTTTTACCGATCAAGCAATTGGTATGGTCCAGCAACTGTGGTGGCAATGGAAAACCAGTCGAAGGTAAAAGAATTATTGGTTTGGCGAAGGAGAAGGTGGCCCAAAGAGGAAACAGGTTGGTTTATTTTCTTTTGGCTATATATGTTGAAATAATAAGGTGTGAAAGATGGAGTTGATTTGTGTGTATTTTGATTTGTTTTTAAAATTGGGTTTTTTTTTTTTTTTTTTTTTTTTTTTTTTTTTTAACACTTGATTTTTCAAATCCAAGGTAATGCATTTACAGACATGAATAGAGTGGATAGAAGTTATGTTGGCATTAAGTAGCTGAGAAGTTTTTCGTTTTTTGGTTCGATTGTAAAATAAAATTAATGGATTAATTTCAACTAGAATGAATTTTGTATCTGTAAATGAATTGAACAATTTGCTTAGTTGCTTTCGTTGGCTTCCAAAGTGTGTAATAGTATAGCCTGAGAAAAAGAAAATGAATTGAAGTTGGAAAGAATATTTTTATCTTAATTAGTTGATTGGAACTAATTTAGCCTCGATCTGGTACTTACTGTGTTGATGGAATGAATTTAAGTGATGTAGCTAAAAAATCGTAGACATATGAGTGTGTTAAATGCCAGCAATGGTGGTGTGGAAAAAGGTTAGATAGAGACTGGAAAAGTTAGATGGATGCTCCACTGACGACGATGGCTAATACTGGACCTTTGCGGTCTGTACATAAAAAGTCCGCCTTAGGTGAATCCAAGGCCATTAGTTGTCAAATAATAGAATTTGTAGAATTTCTATCAATTTTATATCAATCCGATGTGTTAAATAATTTTTGGCACTGTAACATAATGCTTGCATGTAATACCCTAGCCAAAGAGCTAGAGGATTACTAAGTTCATTCAAGTTTCTATGAATAATCTGGAATTTGATGTCAATAAAGAGGGAAATCATATGCAGACCAAACAGCCAAATCTTTTAGTCAAAGAACAAGGCACCTACTCAAGTAAGTTCGTTTGTCGGAAGAAGCTTAGAAATGTAGAAACTTAATTAATTAATCATGAAGGGATGCCTCTAGATAAGTAGAATGGTGTGAATTGTTGTTAAATGCAGGAAATTAAGAGCAAGAAGTTAAAACTCATAAAAAATTTTTGCCTGCAAAGGTTCAAGGAAACGCAACATAATGCATGGAAAAATTCAATGAGTACAAATCCTAGAAGAGAGCCATGTAAAACATTCAGGGTCAGAATGCATGAAATTGTAAACAAAGGAGCATCCTGGATGGGTGGAATTTAATTTGTGAGAATTGTTGACAACCTGTAGCAGCTCATGGCCTATACATAGGCTGCCATTCTATGCGTCTTGATGCAGAAAATAAAGAGAGGGAAAGTGTTCAATAATTGTGATAGAGCAGCGAAATGGTTCTTAAATAGAACATTAATGTTTCATTGGAAGATACACACTGTGACTTATGGTTCTACATTTGACGTTTAGGAAGAATGATTAAATTGAAAAATTTAAAGATATGTTTTTATTAACCTACTGTATTAAGAACTTGGAAATATGTTTATGATGACTGATGAATGTTGATGGATGTATGATTGATAGCTAACAGAAGGCTGAAACGCATGAAATGGACAAATACATGTGGATGCAGAAGTTTGGATTTTGGGATGAGTTTGTTGCACTAAAAAAAAAAAAAAACATTTAGCGACAGTTTAAACTGTCCCTAAATGTTAAAAAGCTGCTGTTAAGTATAACCAATGATGATTTTATGATGGTATACTACGGTCGTAAAAATCCTTATCGCTAATAATTTAGCCATGATTTTTATTAATTTGTTGCTAATTTAGCGATAATTTATCCGTCATTATACCATAAAAGAAAATGTTGCTAAATAATTGGAAAAGATAGTCAATTTAGCGATGATTTTTAAAAACCATCGCTAAATCTATCGTTAATTTGTGATTGTTTTAGCAAAGATTTTTGTTAACCATTGTTAATTATGACTAAAGTTACCTATAAATTTAACAACGGTTTTTAAAATCGTTGCTAAATCATTATTATTATTTTTTTCAATATTTTCAGTTAATTATTTCAAAACTGTCGCTATATTTTTTTTCTAAATTAACAATAAAAAAAAATATTTGGGTGTACGAATCAAGAATACATAATGATAAAATTTGAAACAAAAATAAAAATAAAATTATTTAATTTACATCACCAACATAAATTGTTAATGCATTAGGTTCTTAGGATGCCAAACTAATTAATTGCTTAAGGGCATAATAAATTCAAAACAAACTAATTGTACTAAATAAAACTAGATGGCATGAAAAATAAAAGAAAAGAACACAATGTATAGCTTGTTCTGCTCGTTGCACAATGTGGTGCAATCAAGTTCTTGAATTGCTGGATCAGATTTGGGCACTATCCAGATTGTTGCGTTCTTATATTCGAATCCACAGTTTGTTGGGGGCTTACAGCAAGCATACTGAAACAATACACAAGACACAAACAATATTATTTATTATTTGTAAATTTACAAATTCAAATAAATATTTATGTCTCTTCAATGTATGAATCAATCAATGATGATGTAGACAATGTCTTTACCAATAAAATCAAGAACACAATGTATCAACTTTTTTACAAGGCAGAACTAGATTTTTCAATGGAATTCATAATTTACAACCGTATCAAAACTTGAGGTTTATTTTTTTTCCTAATAAGGAATGTAAATTGCATTTCCAAATATTCCAAAAAGAAGAAAAGCAATATACCAACCAAAATATCTAGCACAACTCAGAAAGGAATGTACTATATATGTCTTTATAAAATAATATTTTAAATCCCATCAGCAAACTCAATTAAAACTGTTAGACGTAAAATTAAAATTAAAATTATTAATTATTAGTAAATCAAAATACTATCAATTAATTAATCACATAAAGAAGTACAAGTTAGTTAAGATAATATACATACCTATAAGGGATACAATTTGGTCTTGTAAAAATCCACAACCTATTGATTGACACGAGGATCAGTACTACCAAGGCCCTTGAAAACACTAGCATCCATCAAACAACTCATGATCTCATCCCATTTATTTGCATTCACAAAGTGATTTTTCAACCAATTTGAGTAATCCCTAAGCTTGTGCTCCTTGTACCCCATCCCTAGCAAAGCCTTGCTTGCACCCTTGTTTGTAACAAGGAATTGAATTCAAAAATGGTGAAGAGAAGAGAAGAAAAAGAGAAGAAAAAGAGAAGAAATGGGAAGAAAAAAATAGCGATCAATAGACAGAAATCAGTTCAGAAAAGATTGGAAAAAATTAAACGAAAAAAAAGATAGTAACTGGAAAGGGGGAAAAAAAAAACAAGAAACTGAAACTAAAAAAAAGAAAGAGAAATAGAAAATAGAAGGATTTTTATCGAATTTTTGTTGGGAATAGCAGTAACTCTGTAAGGTTGTTTTTAATCCTCAATCTGAATTCTTCCTTGAGGTAATCCACCATTTTTCTTTTCAGTATAATTTTCTCTTTTTTTATATTGATTATAGTGATGTTTATCACTATCATCCTCAAAGTTTAC